ATTTCAAGAACTACCTTAAGCACAAGCGAAAGGAAATGAACTTGGAGAAATTGATCCTCCGTCTGCGGATTGAAGAGGATAACCGGAAGAACGATGGGAAACTCCCAATTGTTCATGGCGCCAAGGCCAACGTGGTAGAGCATGCTAAAGGCTCCAAAAATAAAAATAATGGGAAGAGCAAGCTCGGTCCCAAGGGAGGCATTTCCAAGACGAAGTTCAATGGAAAATGCTTCAATTGCAACAAGAATGGACACAAGTCCTCGGATTGCAAGGCACCTCGGAAGAAGAAAGACTCCCAAGTCAATTTGGTGCAAGGTGGGAAAAAGGATGAAGACATCATCCTAGCGGCTGTGGTTACGGAAGTCAACCTCGTTGGATCCAATTCCAAGGAGTGGTTCGTGGACACCGGTGCAACCCGGCATATTTGCTCAAACCGGGAGTTATTCACAACTTTTGAGCCATCAAATGGTGAGAAAGTGTGGATGGGTAACTCGGCTCATTCCGCGGTTGAAGGCGTGGGCAAGGTGGTCCTAAAGATGACTTCGGGCAAGGAGCTGACTCTAAACCAAGTTTTGTTCGTTCCGGAAATACGCAAAAACCTGATTTCCGGTTCGTTGTTGAACAAGCATGGCTTCCACATGGTTTTTGAGTCGGACAAATTAGTTTTGTCTAAATCGGGAATGTATGTGGGAAAGGGGTATACATGTGATGGGCTGTTTAAGCTCAATGTAATGACTATTATTAATAATAATAATAAAATCCCTTCTGCTTACTTGCTTGAGTCTTCCAATGTGTGGCATGGTAGACTAGGACATGTTAATTTTAATTCTATACGTAGATTAATTAACATGGAGCACATTCATAAATTCACAATTGATGTGAAGCACAAATGTGAAGTTTGTGTAGAGGCAAAACTAACGAAAACGTCTTTCAAATCGGTTGAAAGAAAAACGGAACCACTTGAATTAATTCATAGTGACGTTTGTGATTTTAAATCAATACAAACACGCGGCGGTAATAAATATTTTATTACCTTTATCGATGATAGCACTCGCTATAGCTACGTTTATTTATTAAAAAATAAACACGAAGCAATCGATAAATTCATTCTTTATAAGAATGAAGTGGAAAACCAACTTAATCGAAGGATTAAGACGGTTAGGAGTGATCGAGGTGGTGAGTATGAAGCACCAATTGGTGACTTTTGCGCTAGTGTGGGTATAGTACACGAACGTACCGCACCCTATTCACCTCAATCAAACGGTGTTGCCGAACGAAAGAATTGCACATTGAAAGATATGATGAACGCGATGCTAGTAAGTTCGGGCTTGCCACAAAATATGTGGGGCGAAGCAATCTTGACAAGCAATTACCTTTTAAATAAGGTTCCCCGGAAAAAATATGATAAAACTCCGTACGAGTTGTGGAAAGGCAGACGGCCTTCCTATCAATATTTAAGAGTGTGGGGGTGTCTTGCTAAGGTGCTTGTACCAACACCTAAGAAAATAAAAATAGGTCCAAAAACGGTGGATTGTATTTTTATTGGGTATGCACAAAATAGTAGTGCTTATCGGTTTTTAGTGTACGATTCGAATAATCCGGATGTACATAAAAACACAATAATTGAATCAAGGAATGCTTCATTCTTTGAAGATGTATTTCCATGCAAGTCCAACGAAGGGCCTAGCACGTCAAAACGAACATTTGACGTAGCTATGGAAAATACTAGCGAGGGATCCGGAGAAGAACCCGAACCCAGACGTAGCAAACGTGCTAGAGTCGAAAAATCCTTCGGACCGGATTTTCTCACCTACCTGGTAGAATTTGAATCGGATATTCTAACATGTATGGTAGAAAATGAACCGGATTTTCTAACATTTTTGGTAGAAAATGAGCCACGGACTTATACGGAAGCCGTGACGTCTACTGAAGGTCCTATGTGGAAAGAAGCCATCAAAAGTGAGGTGGATTCTATCCTTAAAAATCATACATGGGAATTGGTTGATCTTCCTCCGGGAAATAAACCTTTGGGATCCAAGTGGATTTTTAAACGGAAAATGAAACCGGACGGTTCCATCGATAAGTACAAGGCCAGACTTGTAATCAAAGGATACAAGCAACGTGAGGGCCATGATTACTTTGACACATATTCTCCTGTGACGAGAATAAATTCCATTAGGATGATACTAGCAATTGCCGCATTGCGGAAATTGGAAGTTCATCAAATGGACGTAAAAACCGCTTTTCTAAATGGCGATATAGACGAAGAAATCTATATGGAACAGCCCGAGGGCTTTCGTGTTCCAGGCCAAGAAAGGAAAGTGTGTAAATTAATTAAATCATTGTATGGATTGAAACAAGCCCCTAAACAGTGGCACGAAAAGTTCGATCATGCAATATTAATTAATGGGTTTAAAATAAACGAAAGTGACAAATGCGTCTATGTGAAGAGCACGGTAGACGGCTATGTCATTTTATGTTTATACGTGGATGATATACTCATCGTGGGTAGCAATAATCTAATGATTAATTCTACCAAAAGCATGTTAAATTCTAAATTTGACATGAAGGATATGGGGCTGGCCGATTTAATCCTTGGGATTAAAATAATTAGAGGACCTGACGGTCTAACGCTAAGCCAATCCCATTACGTTGATAAAATCCTTACTAAATTTAATAAGGATGATTATCAAGAGGCAAGGACGCCTTTAGATAAAAACACTCATCTTACCAAAAATCGTGGATAGTGTATTTCTCAAGTAGAATACGCTAGGATTATTGGAAGTTTGATGTATCTAATGAGTTGTACCAGGCCTGATATTGCCTTTGTGGTTAGTAAGCTAAGTAGATATACTAGCAACCCCGGTGATGAACACTGGAAGACAATAATACGGGTTTTGAGGTATTTACATAAAACCCAAAACCTTGGATTGCATTATGGAAGATATCCAGCTGTACTTGAAGGGTATAGCGACACTAGTTGGATATCCGACATAAAGGACTCTAAGTCCACAAGTGGATATGTTTTCACTTTGGGAGGTGCAGCCGTGTCATGGAAATCCTCGAAACAAACGTTAATAGCTAGATCCACGATGGAATCTGAGCTAATAGCATTGGATAAGTGCACTGAAGAGGCTGAATGGCTACGCCATTTTCTCGAGGATATTCCAAGTTGGGAGAAGCCTGTCCCTCCAATATGCATACATTGCGATTGTCAAGCGGCAATTGGGAGGGCACAGAGCAATCTCTACAATGGTAAGTCTAGACACGTTCGTCGTAGATATAACACCATTAAACAATTCCTCACAACGGGTGTTATCACTGTTGACTACGTGAAGTCAAAGGATAACATAGCGGATCCGCTAACCAAGGCATTGGATAGAGAATTGTTGGAGAAGTTGTCACGAGGAATGAGTCTAAAGCCCGTGAATTGAAAAGTTCTATAGTGGATACCCAACCTAGTTGGTCCTAGGTTCAAAAGGGACAACTAAATTATAGAGCGAAGGATGGTCACTGTGGGGGTCCCGGACTCCTACCCACTCCTCGTTAAAAACAGTGACTCCCGCACGAGGTTAGCAAAACCGTTTGCTTTAATGATTCTAAAATGTTGATCTACTCGATAACATTGGAAGAGTATGCGGGATACTCGTGAAAGAATCACCTATGTGAGAGAGAAGAGGGCCGCTTCGAAGGAGAACTGTAAAGGCTCAGTTCTTTAGAAACTCTTTCAGAACCATGACGGTGACCCATGGCCAAAACGGGCACACCCATGAGAACGGAACAAAGTTGGAACGTTCTTGTGTAAAGCTAAGTCAATGTTTACACGACGGCAGTATAGTTCAAGGACATCGAGTCTACTAGACAGCCAGTAAATAAACGTGTCTTTACAACGGAAGGTTCAAAGGATAAAACCTACCTCTCCGTATGCAAGTCCAAAATTCTATTTCTCAAGAGATAGGTTTTATCTCTTACACGAATGCCGTCCAAAATTTTAAAAAGATGGTCAGAAGTACGTTGAAACCGGGATTAAGAGGTGTTAAATAGGTCATTAGGATTCATTTGATTGCTTTTTACAAGTAGAAGTACTTATATGACACTTTATTGAGTACATGACCTTATGTGACTATTTCATAATAGTAGAAGACATTATTTAACTCTTTTCTCTAGAATATATATACGGAGATTGTTGAATATATTGAAATAATGTACTTTATTATTATATTTGTACGTCGATTTTTTTAAACATTTATATGGTATACTGAAATTGTCCTAAATAGACATAAAACTGTTTTGAAAGTTAAAAAAAACACCGTGTTTTTATTTCCTAAATGAGGGTAACTACCAAAATGCTAGAAAATGAAGCCAATTATGGATTTATGGCAATATAATGAATTTTCAGGATGACACTAACGTAGTCCTATTAATGAAAAATATATAATACTCCAATTTTTTTATTTTACATTATTTGTATTCCTATTTCAAGATATTTTGAGTATGTTGTATTTAAGTTAGTTACGATAGATAGTAGGATTAATGGACAAAAATAATCCCAAATATTAATGATCTACTTGAAATAATCCAAAGTATCAATTATCTAAATATAATCTCAACTATTGAAAAATCTTCTCAAAATACTCCGATGACTTATAATTATCCGTAAACGACTTTTATATATATATATATATATATATATATATATATATATATATATATATATATATATATATATATATATATATATATATATATATATATATATATATATATATATATATATGAGTAAGTGAAGTATTTTGAAAATAATCTCAACTATTGAAAAATCTTCTCAAAATACTCCGATGACTTATAATTATCCGTAAACGACTTATATATATATATATATATATATATATATATATATATATATGAGTAAGTGAAGTATTTTGAAAAGATTTTTCAATAGTTAGGATTATTTTGATATAATTGATACTTTGAATTATTTTAAGCAGATCATTAATAGTTGAGATTATTCTTGTCAATTTTTCTTAGATAGTAATACGGTGACTACAATTCAATAAGATTACCTGTGAAGAAGCACATAAACAACCCACAAACTTTTATGATTGCAAATATGTATGGGCTTAGCCCAAAGCCTACAAGATCATAGTAATGTGAAGTTGAGGTTATGTTAGTGGTCCTAACATGTACTTTCTCTCTTCATTAATCCTAAAGTGTCATCTCCTTTGGGCCCATAACAACAATGCCTTTCCATTGCCATAGAAGTTGGAGCAGAGATCCAGCAGGGACGGCCCATCACCAAACCATTGGAGGGTGCAAGAACGAGTTGATGAACTGGAGAGCCGTAGAAAAACTGGGCATGAAAGGGCTGTTCTGAATGCATAATGCGATGAAGAAACTCAGAGGAAGATTTACTTTTCCGACGACCAGAGCCAACGGGGACGTTCCGCATTGAGCCTCCGGCAGTCCAGTATCTCTGGCAGTTCTTGCAGAAGTGGCGAGGCTGATTCACATTGTAATTGTTGTAGTAACAAAATTTGGTGAACTTGCTCTTGCATCTTGGGCATGGAATCATTACATCTCTTTGCTTTTTGCATTGTGTTTCTTTCCCATATGGATTGGCCGTACCATGCTCATCATCATCTTCATCCCTTCCTTTACTCTCTAGAGGTTTTACGGATATAATCTGATCAATCATATCAAAAGAATAGATTTGAATAAGAGAAGAATGAAATAAGGTCTTTGCCCCTATTGCATAACCATTAATTTGCTTTTAATTGTATGAAATTATCACTGATATTTAAAACATGAAAATAAAGAATATTTGAAGTGAAAAGTATTTTGTAGTCAGGGGCGTAATCACAACATTGGGTTGGACCGGGCCCTAGAAATATTTAAATGGAGTAATTTAAGAATATCTAAATATTTAATTGGACTGGGTTGTACCATGACTTATTTTAGTAATATTCTTGTAAAAACCCCAAGAATATATACAGAATGTTTTGGATAAATGGAATGTTTTACACTAAAAATCAAGACTTTTTTTAAATTAGTTTGCCCTCTAGTTCTGCCAGTGTTTGCAGCAATAGTTCTACATTCTAAAGGATATTTGCATACTTTTAGAAATAAATTAGATGTTACGTAGTATATAAATGCCAATAAAGGATACAATGAAAAAAACATTTTTTTTTATTAACATATATATGGATATAGGTGATAATACATGACATCTCAAAGGACCTGACGTTAAATAAATATTATTTTCCCCATTTTATCGAATATTGTATTTGATCATAAGCACTTTTAGAATGGATAGATTTAATAGATTTCCTAAGGATGTGTTTGGGAGTTGGATTTTGGAGGGGACGGGAAGGTTAATGGAGGTTTATGACCCTCCTTTTCATGTTTGGGAGTTTAAAAAACTGAAGAGGTGGTTTTGGAGGGCTTTTGTTACCCTTCAAAACCCTCCAAATGCTTAATTTTTAAGTTCCCCCAATTTGGAGGGTTTTGGAGGATAATTAACAAGATGGTAATTTAAGCTAAATTAGAAACGAATATCAGCTCAATGATCTGAATTCGTCATATCTCAAAGTGATTTTAATTATAATTCCTTCAAAAAACCTCTCCTTCCAAATACAAAGAAGAGCTTCCTCACCCTCCCCTCCCTTTCCCCTCCAACAACGTACCTCCAAAGCTTTCCCCTCCCCTTCCCTCCAAACTCCCAAACATACCCTAAGGGTGTGTTTGGGAGTTGGGTTTTGGAGGGGAGAGGGAGGTTGATGGGGGTTTATAACCCTCCTTTTCATGTTTGGGGGAGTTTATAAAACTGGAGGGGATGGTTTTGGAGGGCTTTCATGACCCTCCAAAACCCTCTAAATGCTTAATTTTTAAGTTCTCCCAATTTGGAGGGTTTTGAAGGATAATTAATGAAATAGTAATTTAAGCTCAATTAAAAATAAACATCAGTTCAATTATTTAAATTCGTCATATCTCAAAGTAATTTTAATTATAATTCATTCAAAAACTCTCTTCTTCCAATTAGAGAATTCTACATATTTTATCAAGCTGATCGAATTCCTACTGGAGTATACTACCTTCGTCCCGTAAAGAAGTTCTCACTTTCCTTTTATGGATGTTCCAAAAAGAAGTTCTCATTTCTATAAAAGGAAACCACTTTTATCTAAAAAGTCACAACTATCCTTACTTTTTACACACTTTTTGTTTGATTTGACATAAAGTAAGGTATACTTGGAAAGTCAAAACAAAACTCTACTTTACATAAATATGTGTGTAAGTCAAACTAAGAACTTCTTTACGGGACGGAGGGAGTATCTTATGAACACCCTGAACTTGCCAGCTCTGTAATATAAGGATCTGATTATTATCTAACGTAATTTATGTTCCCAGATGGCTAGATAAAACATGTTTTATTTGTAAACATGCTATTTACACACAAATCATTCTTTGTCTATCAATAGACTATTCACACGAAAAAACAGTCTTCTCACATGCGTAAAAAGCGTGTACAAGAAAAATGTGCATAAGAAGAATTATTGAAACAAGAAACTGTCTCTAAAATTATACTCTGTCCCGAAATTAACTTGTCACTTTCCTTTTCGGACAGTCCCAAAATTAACTTCTCACTTTCTTATTTGGTAACTTATCTACATCAAAACAGTGCAAAAACAATGCTAAACAGTGTCGAAACAATATCAAAATAGTAAAATTTACCTACTAGTAGATTTGTTTTCTTAAAATGTGCCAAATCCAAGTGAAAAGTGAATTACGGGACTAAGGGAGTACTACATATATACCTTGTTGTCTTTTGAAGCTAAACGATCAGCAGAACACGACATGCTGTCGTCCTGACACAGAGTTATAGTTTTTCCGAAGAGCTTGATTGCTGCCGGATCTTTAGCTGCCGACATTCCGGCGACTCTCTCCGGCTAGCTTTTTATTCCCCTGTTTCTTTGGAAAGGAGCGAAATAAGCTAGAAAGTAATAACTTTTCTGCAGCTTTTGTTTCGGTTTAGTTCAAGAAAACTGAAGCTAATGAAGGGTTCTAGAAGTGTGATTAAAAAATGGGATTTCATTGGTCATCGTTATTGGGATTAAATATCTCCACAATTCCTTGAGGTTGCTGAAGACTAAGAAGGGAAGAAACGGGAGGAAGAGGAGGCGTCTTAGGTGGACATGTCAGCAAAGGAATGAGTTTGTAGCCACATGATTGTGTGGTGCGGATCACTTTCTTTGTTCCCGTTGCTCCACACCAAGTTGCCATAAAAGTGCAAAGTGTTCTGCCCAATTTTCTAGTTCTTCCATTTAACACTTTCCATAGAAACATGAGGTTTTGAGGTCGTTTTTGACAACTTTTTCATCAAATACGTAATTTTTGCTTTCGCAGGCTGAATTGTGTAATAAGTAGAAAAAGTAAGGTTCATGTTACTTTTCTGGGTTTATTGGCTGAAATTACTAGATGACTATTTTAGCTATTTTTACATATAATTTTTTCTTTATTTTTTTAATAAAATATATTTTGAATTTTTTTTTTCTTAATTCAGCAAAATTAGCCTATGCAGCCACTTCAGCCAGAACTTCATAAATTTCAGTAGATCAGTCAAATCAGCCGATTTTTGTGCTACCAAATTGGCTCTTTATACTAATACTCATTAATCACTATATTAGTTTTGTAAGGGGAGGATATTTTACGGTTATAATGAATTGAAGCGTATGGCAACTTCATTAGTTTAATTTCCAGTGTAAATTTTTTTATTTTTCATGTTTAGACAATTTAGGTATTATTTAAGTTTAGAATCATTACTTTTCATTTCAGTTTGATCAATTCCAATTTTGAAATATATCTATGTAGGTCGATCAATTTATTCTTGATGAAGAAGATGATGGGTCGCCAGGGAATTAGGAATACATACGTAGGATTCATCTATTAGACGATCAACCTACATGTTACAAAAATATGTTGAGATTGAGCAAATGTTCAAGGTACAACCGATTGTACCACATAATTTGTGGTCCAACAGATCATGTATTTATTTAATTTAAAATTAACAGTAAGTCAGTACACTTAAAATCAATTCTCCACTACATTTTACACCAAACTATTTGTAAAGATCCGGGGTTCCATCTTAAAAGTTCAACCTGATAGGAGGAGTAGCCTATGTCTTAATATAACACTTTGTTGATTCAAACTTTTCCGCTGGGGATTCTAACACCCCTCCTCATGACCAGATACTTCGTCTGGATCGTGCCGTCGGTCATTTTTTCGTCAGTTCATCATTGTCATTTTTTTAATCATGTCGTCATTTTTCATAAGGGGGTCCACACCATGGTTATAGATCAGTTTGTCTCTGACACCATGTTAAGATCCGGAGTTCTATCCTAAAAGGTCAACCTAATAGGAGGAGTAGCCTATGTCTTAATATAACACTTTGTTGATTCAAACTTTTCCCGTGTGGGATTCTAACACTATTTTTTTTGAAAGGCTCACCAAACTAAATTGAAATTGTGAACATAAGGTAATAGATTTTTTGGGACACCAATTGAACGTAACAATTATTATAATAAGAATATAAGTTTGAACACGATACTTGTATATGGGAATGATTTTTATTTCTAGCAAACAATAGTGCAAAAATACAATTTTCTCATTTCATAATTTCATACTACCTCCGTCCCTTAAAACTTTGTCAAAGTTGACCGGTACGGAGAATAATAAAATAAAAACTGTGTGGTTGAGATTTGTGCAAAGGAGAGAGAAAAAAACAGAAACCATAAAATAATTGATTAAAAGGGAAAGTGAGATAGTTTTTTGGGACGTCCCAAAAAAGAAAGATGACAAAATTTTAAGGGTATTTTCATTCATCATTTGTCTATACTCTATCGTGATCTTGTGGACAGGAATTTTGTAACTGAAACTTTTAAAGGCAATATCATCGGACAGCGCAATTAGGCAGATAGGGACCTAGAACTACAGGAGTTGCCAACATAAGAACGATCCTACGGTCAATCATGGATAGTTAACTACTTTTTCCAATGTTATGAAATTCATTACCTTCGATATTTTCTAGGATTATTAGCTTATTTTATCTTAAACTATCATCAAATTCACAAATTTATTGTATTATTCCATTTAAAAAAGATTCAAACTTCATATTTTTCAACAATTATAATTTTATTTTTTGTATTTTCAAAATTACAAATTTTTATCAATACCAATAAAATATAAGTAATAAAAGTTTGTATACTTAAAACTCGAAAGAAGTGAAAAACCATGAACTATAAATATGATTTTCTTTTTAAGTTTTACTAATTCATCCATTGAAAGTGTGAGAAACGTTGAAGTGTGAGTCTTTTTTAATAAAAGTGAAATTATGAGATAAATTTGTGAATTTGATGATATAGTTGAAGACATATTTTGCTAATAATCCAATTTTCTAATCTATTTTTAATGTTTCAGCACATGTGATTATGTGAGGATGGGATGTATAAATAGACTGTCTGATATTTAAACACATTTTTTTCTGTATTTATCTTCTCCCTTTCATACATCTGTTGTTGAAAAGTTAACGACTCTCTAGAATTTTCTATAATCTTCTTTATTAAATAGTCTAGGATGTGTAGAATTTTTTAGATAAAGTATTAAATACTCTGTAAGAGTTAGATAGATATACTCTAGAATATAATATAATTAATGTGAGAATAATTTAAAGTGTAATTAATGTGAGAGGTTCTAGAAACACTCTCACCACCTCAGACTAGTATAAATAGAGGTAGATGGATACAACCCCATCACAACCAAGAGAGTGAAGCATCCTCAAGAGTGGGAGTAAGAGGGACTCTCCATCTTTGTACTCGATATTTTATATTAATAAATTATCTTTTATTCCTCCAAATCTCAACATCTATACCATCATCTTATAAGTTCATATGGAATATTAATTAAAATGACATGTTATCTTAACTTCTAAGCTCATCAGCAACTTTCCGCTTATCAAGTTATCATCAAATTTTCTTATCAAACATATAATTTTTAATATCGCACACTGAACTATATAACAATGAAAACCGGTAAAGTTGTAGTTACTTTTCTGGGTGAATTTGCTGAATAAAACAGTTTTAACAAATCTTTTATATAATTTATTTTTAATTTCTTAACGAAATCCGTAAACGTAAACAATTCAACATATTAGGCCAATTCAATGGCATTACCAATTTCAACAAATTCAGAGCCCGTTTGGTAACACTGAAATCGGCTTATTTTGCAGAAATTTATGAAGTTCTGACTGAAGTGACTTTATTTGACTGATTATTCTGATTTATGGAAAAAAATTAAAACATGTTTTATTAATAAAATAAGGGAAAAAATTGTATGAAAAATAGCTAAAGTAATCATTTACAGTAACTTCAGCCAATACATTATTTAGAAAATTAAATCTACCTTACTTTTTCTTATTATTACACAATTCAGGACGCGGAATAAAAAAATATGTGTTTCGTTCAAAAGTTGACTGATAAACCTGATAAACCGAAAAAAATAGTCACCAAACGGGCTCTTAATGTAAACCTATACAAGAAAGTTTTTTTTTTTTTTTGTAAAAATATACAAGAAATATTGACCACATAATTAAAATGCACCCTCCCAAGATGATACGTAATGCTTTTAGAGATGTTCCTACCACCTTAGGGCCCTTTTATTTTTTCCACTCCTAGACCTTCAAACATACGGGTCTGACCCAATTTGACGCATTAAACCTAGAACAATGTGTAGACAATGGACTTCAGAAATAAGGGGAATTCAATATTATGCTTTGGAATCACCATGACACCATCCGTTCGTCATTGACCCATCTGACCATGGGTTGGAACTGCAATAGATCAGAACACCATGATAGAACAAGCATGAACACATACATGGGACCTAGAAGTAGTGTCAAAATTAGAACTACCCTAACCAGTTAAGACCGGGCATAGGCTTATTACCAAGATGGCTCACAACAAGAAATGGCAGGCAATAATGTCTCAATCCACGGCTTGCCTTTAGCATTATCTTCTTAAAAGGTTGTCCCAACATCAGATCAGGTAAAAGCTTGATTCCCAAAAGCCAAAATTCCATTGTTGATTAGAATACCCGTCAGCATACAACTATACTTGATTTCAGATGAAGATCAGAAAGTGGCAACTAGCTAGTGTGTATGTGTCAAATCTATGCGAGCAAAAGACAGAAGATTGATCAATTACCTGTGGGAAATATAATGACACAAAGGAAAAGAGGAATAACATATACATGGTATATGGAGGGTTAATAAGCATCACGGATATGCATGTATATATTGATATATATGTAGTGGTGGAAACTGGAAAATCTTTAAAATATTTGCCATTTTACAGCAGAGGTAGAGGATGCGAGCGGGGAACTAGATGGGATGTGCCTGCCACTTGAAATTTTAATCTCTAGCATGACTACATGAGCCATCATTTGGAAATTTCGAACCTAATACCAAGTAAAGTCTCCGTCACATTGACATTCTGATATGAATAGATTGCGGGATTATTAAAAAACGGGTTTATGCGATTTATATTGAATTGATAAAGTAATAATAATGTGAAAATGATTTACGATCACATAAATTTTATCGAATTCGATATTCCTTCCGTATTTAAAAGTTCCCTACACTTTATTTTTTGTGTTGCATTTAGAAGTTCGATACACTTTCCCTTTTTGGTAAGTTTTTACTTTAAAAATACTCAATTACCCTTATTTTTCTATTTATTATCCTCTCTTTCCTATTTTTTCACTCTCTCCTACTCTTTTTATACTCTCTCTGTCCCATATAGAGGTTCCCGGTTCAGTTTACGATGCTTGACTGACGATAAAGCAATTTGATCCATGTTCACACTCCGATTATTTTTAGAAAACAAAATTTACATATTCAGAAACAACATTAAAGTCGCTACAAAGGCTGATAAAAAATATGTAAATTTCATAAAAATTTGATATATAAAGCAAAAGGTTAAGAATGATTTAAGTTGACCATGTGAATAGTGGACGAGAACCTTTAAATGAGACGGAGGGAGTACTAT